AAATTTTTTTAAAATTGTACCAACATACCTGGATCCTCTCTTCAAAGTGATTTCTCTCCTGGTACTCCATTTGTGCAGCCTAAGAAAAAACATTAATTGGTGCCCAGATGGGACCCACAATCCAATAGCTTCCCCAGAATTAGAATGAGCACCTCATTTTCTTACTTTCTCCCACTGTTATGGAATTTATTAAAACAAGTGTCCCCTCCTTCTCTCTGCCTTACCCAAAGTCCCACCTGATTTGAGTGAAGAAAACTGTGAAGACAAGCAACCCACAGTGGTTGATCACTGGCCCCACAGAAAGTAAACCAAGGTGCTGCGGAACCAAGTGAGAAAGGCCTACTCAAGGACAATGCCAGGAAGTGGGAAAGAGGGTCAAAAGAAGGAGCAGGAACCAACGGCTGATTACAGTTGAAAACTTACTGGTGAGGCTGAAGAACCCACCACTGTGGCAGGGACAAAGACTCTGCTCCATAAAGAAATCAAAATTTTTCATGAACATCGAAGTGAGAAAGGCCTACTCAAGGACAATGCCAGGAAGTGGGAAAGAGGGTCAAAAGAAGGAGCAGGAACCAATGGCTGATTACAATTGAAAACTTACTGGTGAGGCTGAAGAACTCACCACTGTGGCAGGGACAAAGACTCTGCTCCATAAAGAAATCAAAATTTTTCATGAACATCTGCACATCCCCTAATGTGAAGGTACCACATGCAGCAGCTACCCTTGGTCCAACAAGAATGGAAGTTCTAGACTAAGACCTACCTGTACTTCCCCGTCCTGCCCACCCTCTAAAAAATAGCTTGCCATGGAGGCTGCCTAGTGTGTGGGGGAGGAGTCCAGGGAGGTTTTGGGGTCAGGTACTAATAACCCACCTTTCAGAGCCTGAAAAGTTTTAAACTCCTCTAAGCCTGTTTCTAAACTCAACAAGGGGACCATGATCTCTACCTATCCAGCTGGCTGAAAGGATTAAATAAGGTGGTCACTGAACCCCTCATGTGCTGCCAGGCCCAACATGGGTTAGTTCCCTTCCCCCACTACCTCTGAAGTTTCAGACCAAAGTTGGCCTCAAACCTGCCTCTAACTATAAAGGTAAAACAGACATGTACAATGCATCACGATCTTATCCTAAGAAAACCTAACCGATGAAAATAAAATCCCTAGGCAACAACAAATTAATGCATGGTAAAACAGAGGCAAGCAGATATAGGACTGTTTTCTTAACCAACTCTTTATATGAATATGAGGCTGAGGGGAAAAAAATGCCAGGGCCTCTGTCAAAGATGATTTTTGCTAATTCCTCAGCTGACACAGAGCTAATATTTAGAAGCCGACCGTGTGTGAACCATGAGGACTGAATGTGCATTCCATCTCCTGTGGGGGGGCCTGGTCTGCTCATTAAAGTCCCCCCTTCATGTCCCATCACCTCACCTCAGTTTCTCTCTCCTTTTCTTCCCTCAGAGCAGCAGAGAGTCCTTGGAGCTCTCCAGACAACACATTCTCGTCAGAAGATGCCATCTGAGATTTCTCCTCTTTAAGGCACTGAATTAAAGCATCTTTGCTCTTCAAAGACAGCTTCAACTCCTCAATCAGTCTAAAAGAGAACAAAATTTAAATATTAATTCTAAGCTGTTCTCTTCGCTCAGTGGAGCAGGAGGAGGTAGGAAAAGGGGCCAGACATCTTCAAAGTATACATGTCCAATGACTGAACATAAATAGAATCACATTTTGCAGGTCAGAGATTAAGGGCCAGAATTGGTGTGACATTTAAACGGTCCAGCCTGGCCCTGGTTGATCAATGATTGCCACCACCAATAGCAGTGGATTTCCAACATTTTTGGTCAAAAAATCCTCTCTCCAAAAGAAATCTGTCACCAAAGACTAAGCAAACAGAACCAATAAAGCAGAGCTGTTCTGGAGAGCACGGAAAAAAACAGGAATGTCTCTCCAAGGCTTCTCAAGGCAAAGTTTAAACAGACGCTGACTTTCAAGATAAAGGCCAAACTCCTCAGCAAGGCATTCCAAGCCCTAGTTCTTTGGGCCTAGAAGATCAGAAGCCCCTGCTGACAGCTTCAGTCTCATCTCACAGGAAGCCATCACCCTCTCCTTTGCCATCCAGTAGCCTCACTCCCAGGTCTCTCCCAAAGCCAGGCTGTTCTGTGCCTCTACGCCTTTGCTCGTGCCATTCCGTCTACCCAGAATGCCCTTGCCAGCCCTACTCCCACCTCCACCTGATAAACGCCATTTGTCCTGCCAGAGCTAATTAAGCATCACCTCCCCTCAAAGACATTTTGCCACTCCTTCACCATGCCAAGTAATTCAACTTCTCTGAGCCTGCGTTTCCTCAGGTATAAAATGGGATGACTTGCTAATGCTGATTGGAGATAATCTACGTAAAACAACCCTACACTGCTCTTGGCACATGCATACAACTGCAGCAACAAATGACAGTTGCTAAAATTATGTTTTTTAACATTCAACAATAAGCATTTTGTCAGAGGACCCTCAGAAGAGCCTTTCTGTAGCTAAGCCTAGAAAGCAACTTAGTTTGGTAAAAAGAACAAAGACTTGGAAGTCTGGCAGAGCTGCCCTGATGGAGCCCCAGATTCCCAGGGTGAAGGTGAGGAGGGAGGTAAAGTAGCTGAGGCACCTGGCCATGCGCTGGGATGGAGGGTGCCAGGCGACACCCATGTGATGTCCCCAAGAACCTGGAACGAGGAGTAAGATTGCCCTCTAGGGGTTCAACTCTGAAATCAACACATAATCAACTAGAGGGGTAAAAAGTCACCAAACCATACACTTAAAATAGATGCACTGTGCTGTATGTAATTTACACCCTGATAAAATTGATTTTTTTAATTACCTCAGAACAAGTTCTAGATAAGGGAATGGGAAAAGTGGGGCAGACCTGGTGGGAACTGTAGCCAAGCTGGAGCACCTGGCCCATCTAAAGTGAGCAGCAGCCTCACTCCAGCAAGACTACAGGCCAGGGCCACCATATCTTCCAGGTTTCCAAAATAAGCTGGAAATCTATACTTTTATGCAAAATTCAATTTTTTTAATACTGGCAACTAATTCAAATTTTTAAAAACACTGTGAAGGCCAAGTAAAATATATCTGTTAGCCATATTTGACCTGCAGGGCTCCCCAGTATTTAAGTATCCTTAAAGATACAAAATAGCTCAAAGGCCAGATTGAAGGAAATAAAGCAGCTAAAGCATGTACTTTTGAAAACGGTAGTGGGAGGCCAGGAAGATATCATCAGCGCCCATCGAAGTGAGGGTCCTGGGCCCTAAAGATTCTACAGTCTGCCCTGCCCAACAGTGAGTCACTCTGATGGAAGATCTGGATCCATTTCAGCAGGGCACAACCAAGGACCCTGCTCCAATTCTGTGCTAACCTAAACTTTCTGACCTTGGTGTAGCTTCCCAAGCAGGCCTGCCTTCAGGGAGGGAACATACTGATCCTAGGCCCAGGGGAGTTTCACCACAAAGAGGGTCATGCCCTGAGCAGAAATCCTGAGCTGGCACGGTCTGCTGTATTAGTACCTAGGAGTGCGGCTGGGGAACATCTATCCCTGAGAGACAGATGCATTCGCGAAACGGACAAATCAGGTTTCTGTGGCTATCTAGCCAGAACTATGGGAAATCCCAGAAAGAGGCAGCCTTCTGCAAAGCCCTGACCCTACCACCCACATCCATGGAGACCCCGCCACCCAGATCACAGTCAGTACCTGATAAATATCAACCCTTCCCAAATTCCCTCACCCAAAAAAGATGAGAAGTCAAGCCTCTGCGGCACATGCTAACAGAGACCACTTTCCCCTATGATCACCTTGAAAACACGCCAGGCTCCATACTTTTGTATGTGCCACTCTCTCTGCCTGGCAGGGTGTCCTTACCCAACTCCCATGACGCCTCCTCTGATGAGCCTTCCCTGCCACACACCCAAGCAGGGTCAGTCGCTCCCTTGCTTTTGTCACAGCACAGAAGCGTGAAATCACCTTTATCACAGCATCTATCACGAACATCTGTCCCGGCTCCCACCCTGGGAGCTCCATATAAGCAGGACAATGTTCATCTCTGCATTCCCGGCATGCATGCCCAAAGCCATGCTCACTAGTTGGTTAAGGACTGAATCTATACCTCCTTTAATTCAAGACTTAATTCATACACACAACAACCTCCTAGACTCTATTCACAGATCCCTCAAATCCAATACATCCCAATTGGAAAACACCATCTCACTATTACCTCCACCCAAAAGCATTTCCTCTTTCTCCCTCTGTTCCTCACAAACTCAGCAACCTCCACTACCATCCCACAGCTGCTCACGCTCAAAAGCCAGGTGACAGGTATCCCTGCAGCCTTTTCCTTCATCCCCTAAATCCAGTTTTCAAGCCCTTCAAGTCCGTCATGTCCATCCTACCTTCTGTCTATCTCCACCTGTTCTCCTCCATTCCTAGTTCTGTCACCTCAGTCCTGGTCACCATCATTTCTTGTCTGATTTTTGTATTAGCCTGAGAACCACTCTTCTACCCAGCCATAGAGCCAGAGGCAGCCAGAGGGATCCTTTTGAACTTAAATCTGATCCTGTCATTCCTCCAAGCCCCACCCTTAACTCTTCAGTGGCTTCTCACACACCCTGAGGATAAAACCCAAATTTTTATTTTTATTTTTTTTTTATTTTTTTTTTATTTTGTCAATATACAATGTGGCTGATTATTGTGGCCCATTACCGAAAAAAACCCAAATTTTTCAACAAGGCCCACATGAGCTCCCCGGCTCCCCTCTCCTCACCTCTTCCCACCTCCCTTCCTGAACACAACACTGGGCCATGCTGTAAGTCTTGTCATGCCTTGCTCATGCCATGCTCCCTCTCACCTCTGGACTTCCTTACGCCTGGAACCCCCTTTCTTCCCTTTCTTTGTCCAAGTAATTCCTCCTCATCCTAGTATTTCCTCCAGGAAGCTTTTCCCAATCCCTCTAAACTGAATTAGATTATCAGCCAGCCTTTCTCCCACGTAGCCCTTTATCATTCTGTTCCTGCCCTCCACCCCTTCCATCTACCTAGATAATAAGCTTAAAATCAGACAATGAGACTCCTGGGGAGAGAGACCTAGTCTGTATCACTCTTATATTCTAATCACCACTGTGTTGAGTGGAAAATGCTCAGCAAATATTTGTTGAACAAAGGACATAATGATCCAATAGAACCAATGAATTAACTGCTGAGCATCTGTCAGGACCTTCCTCACAGGGCCTTTACAGTTAGCTCTGTCCCAGGACCTCTTTTAAACCCATCCCTAGCCCTCTGCTAGCTTACCCTTCACAGGTGCCAGAAATTCTGTCTGTTGTCTTCTTTGTTGGCTGCCCACACATTCTGTCCTATTCCACGGGCCCCCTACTGCACATTTAACTGCTGGGGACCTGTAGTTCTCCCAGGAAGACAAGCCCGTAAGCCTTCTAAAGGCTTCACTACTGATCAGCAGGGAGGGATACAAGGAAATACAGAAATGAATCGTGTGTAATTTCCAGTCTAGTGGCTCCAGACTCTCCATGCACAGTGCCTGGAAAGGCTGGTGTTCTGAGGGAGAGGCTCAGTGAAAAGGCACACCTACAGGGAGGTTTCTCTTCCTAGCCATGAAGTCAGAAAAACCCAAGGTCTCAAATGGGTAAACTGAGGGGATCCTCATTCACTCCACTGAGGTTCACAGACAACTCAGTTTCCTCACTCATGCTGAGGTTAAACTTCCATCTTCCACACAGCTTCAATTTTCTAAATCAAAACTAATAAAAGGCTGCAGAGCACCAAAATGCTAGCTTGGGCAGTTAAATAAATGCAGACCATGGGCTCTCTCTCAGGGTCTATTTACTCCTCTTTTACAGATAACCCTAGAAGGTTTGCTCATGTGATTTCACAAACCATAGATGAAAACGAGTAGCAGGCTCAAACCTAAACAACACGGTGTGCCAGTCAATGCAGGAGGCACTGAGTAACCAAGAAAAAGGAACCACAGTCAGTATCCTCTGAAACAGATCGTCTGCTTTGGAACAATTTCTATCAAATTCCAAACAAGCATGGTTCTCCAATAGACAGGTCACAGGTTAGCCAGCAGTTTACTCATGTTTAGTTAACTCAACCTTCCACTTCGTGACAACCAAAACAAGGCAAGAGTGTCAAAATGTAAGGTTCATGGTAAAAAATAAAATCTCAACTTTCTCCTGACAAGTTTTTATCAAAAGTTTGATTGCAAAGTATAACGTGCATTAAGACTGTCTAAAGGCCACGCTGTCCATCCATTTCTCTAAACTAAATGGTGCACGTTTCATCCTAGATCATCAAAGAGCTCTGTATTTGGTCTACATTGTTTTGTTTTCGGCCCCTTGCACTATACTAATTTGGGCCCTCAGCCTCATTAAAAGATGTAATGAAAAAGAGGCCACACAAAATTCACTTGTATCTATTGTGGGGATAAAGTCAGTCACTGTTTCTTTTGGGAAGAACCACAAGAGAAATTTCCCTCTGATAGTGCCAAATAAAACTGGGCTTCTCCTGAGTTACTGGTTTGTGAATCTTGTGTCTACCAAGACTGTTTTTCCTCTTTTTCTCTGGCTACTGAAAAGCTTATAGCCAAAACTGAATGGAAAATTTAGTACGTGAGTAGAGCTTTTCAGCATGAATATCTACGAACTCTAATTTTTCAACAAGCCCCACATGAGCTCCCCAGCTCCCTTCTCTCTTCACATTACTATCCTTTTCTCTCACCCTGATTTTCTCCCTAGCTTTCTATCTTACACTGCTGGACATGTTCCAGTAAGTCACACAAGCCCTGTGGGAAACAAGAAGAGAAGGGAAGGAAAGAACGGAAGGAAAAGGAACAATTCTTTCTCCGCGTTGCCAGATAATGGGATGTCAGGGTATTGCCGGGACAAGAGCCAGACCTGTCTTTCTCTTCTAGGACCAGGACCGTCTTCAAGTCCCTCTCCTGTATCTTCTTCATCTCTGAAAGCTTGCTTTCCAAGCTCAACCGAAGAGCCTTCTCCGTTTCTGTCCCTGCACAGGCCTTTTCCAGTTCTGCTTGGGCGGCTTTCACATCCTAGAGTTAAATTAAATGCATTGATGCAATTTTTCAATACAATTGGGAACATTTTGAAAGGAAATTGGATTAAAATATAAATATTTATGACTTTTTCTCCAGCACATTTCCCCTCCCTGGATTGTACTATATACATGGAGAGAATCAGTAATAAATACATTTGCCAGCCATTTTTCCCTCTTGTATCCTGAAGAGTAATAGGTATTTCCAATGGAAAAGACTCAACTCTACAAGAACTGTATTTTTTAGTTTTGAAAAATCAGATCAATATTTACAGCTTCAATGAGAACTAGGAGAAATGTAGCTCTTAATATTAAATATACATAAATTCCAAAGAGTCACCATGATTTCCATACAAATTCATCCCAAACCCCACCACCCCCCCCATTATTTTTTTTTAAGATAAGGAGTACACAATTCCAAAATACATTTTCTATATCTCCAAGGTGATCTATGTGGTGAAAACTCTATGTTATGTTCTTCCCAAGAACTCAGAGAAGCCAACAAGGAAATCATCTAAATTACTCAGGCAGTGTCTGCATTAGGGGAAAAAACCCCGTTGCTCACGAAAGTGATCTGGAAATAGACATGAATCTCCAACTACTCATGCCACTGCCTCTGATTACACCACAAAGATAAAAGTAAAACAGAATCGGGTTCAAAACCCAGTTCTCACACTTACTTGCTGTGAGACACTGGGTAGTCACTTAACCCCTCTCAGCTCCAGCTTCCCAATCTATAAAGCAGGGAAAACCACCATCCCATCAAAGAGCTGCTAGAAGACTCTGTCAAATGCCTGCTGCATCACGGGAGGCCCAAAAATGTTGGCTTCTTCCTTCTTGCCCTTTCCCTCCTCGGTGCCTCCGCCAGCACTATCTTCCCAAGAGGCTTGCCTGTCAATCTCAATGAAAGCTGGGGAAAATCATTTCCTACATTCTTAGACAACGAACAACAAAGCCTGCTATTTACTGAGTGCCTACTAAATGCCAGTCTCTAAGCAAGGAGTTTTATTTATATTATCTTTGATCCTCACTCAACCCTAAAAAGTTATATAGTGAGACAGTAGAGCACAGTTTAGAATGCAGGTATGCAGCCAGACTATCTGACATTTACTGCCTGTGTGACCTTAAGCAAATGACTTAGTCACTCTGTGCCTGTTTCATCATCTGTGAAAGAAAGAAAAAAAGAATGGAAGGAAGGAAATGATAATGGTATTTACCTCAGAGGTTTACTGAAAAGATTAAGTCAGCTTATGTAAAAAGCGTAGAAGGGTGTCTCACACAATGGTAAGTCCTCAGTAATTTGTTAGTACAGTGTTCTTACTACAACTATTACTGCGAAGTAGGTACCACTATCCTCATTTTACAGATGAAGAAGCAGATGCTCAGGGAAGGCAAGTGATAAAACTAGTAAGCAATAGAGCAGAGATCCAGCACCTTAAAATATTGGGAAGCATTTACAAGGAAAAATAAGAAAACTAAACCAACAGGTTACGCCCTTTAAAAGTCTCACAATTACATTTTAAATAAAATTCAGAATTTGGGCTCAGAAGACCTTTATTTTGGTTCCAGCTCTACCACTTATAACCTAGATTAAGTTTCTCACCCTCTGTGAGCCTCAGTTTCCTCACCTGTATTTCAGACCTAACGCCTATGCACAATATAAAGGATGATGTGAACATCATGAATGGAAAATTGTACATTGCAAAGCACAGTATCCGCTTTTTGTATCCAGAAGTGCTTTCTGGTGCCATTTCTCTTCATATCCACTAAGAAGAAGCAGAATTTCAGGTAGAGAAAATGAGATGAAACAAGAGTCTTTAAAGACCAAGAATTAAGTACTCCTTAAGACTAGCTTAAAATGGAGGTAAACTTCTCAACATCTATGAGACAGGATTTTTTAGCCAGGAAACATCCTGACACCCATCATGATCATAGGAAACACCTAACTGAGAATAAGCAGGAGAAGGGACACACAGCAACTAACGGAGAGAAGACATTCAACAAGCATGGGTGGGACGGCTGGATGGAGGCTGCTACCAGGGACAGGAGCTGGATAGGCAAGCAATGGCCTAAAAGTCAAGAAATCTGATTCCAGGCTTGGCTAATGGTAGGTAAGTCATTTCTCCTTTCTGGGCCTCAGCTGCCCAGAAAAGGTGTTTAAAGTAAAGCAACTAAACTAGATAATAAGCAAAATGGTGTTGCAGTAAGAGCACAGGCTTTCAAATAGGTTTAAACCCAGGATTAAACCTGGACTAGTCAGTACTCCTCTGTCCTAACATGAAGACAATAATGGAGACATTGTTGGAATAAAGACAACAGTGGCCAGTTTGCAGGGTGTAAGGGTTATAAATTATGCAGATAAAGTACCTAAAATGGGGCTGGATCCCACGAGATGCTCAACAAGGGCGACAGTTGTTTCTGCTGAAATGCTGACAGTTTAGGAAAAAAAGGAACAAAACTGTTCCCCACCCCATTATTCACCCACTGTAAGAAATACACTCCCTTCAGGATTTCCAGACTTGCCTCTTCTAGAAGGAGTATCCTTTTGGTTAGGAGATCTTCCACCTGCTGCACCTTCTTTCGAGCATCTTCTTTTACCCGCTGAATTTCAGAGTCACCCCCTTCAGCTAAGCTCTCCACTGCTCTGCTGCAAAAAGAGGCAAGAAGGTAAAATGCCTCAGGGTGACAGTCTGATGGTAATTTCAACAGCCCCCAAAAGAAAAGGAATATTTGTTAGTCATTTCTCCCACAGACCTGTGTTGAGCTTATTTTTTTAGAAAATTAATACTTGTAATTCAAAAACATAGATGAGGAAAATGTAAGAATCATCAATAATCTTGTCATTCAGGATAACTAAGTCAACATTTAATGTATAGCCTTTCACACATTTTCTACAAAAACAGAACCATTAGTACATATCTGTGAACTGATTTTATTACTTAATACACTATAAACATCCTTTTGTGTAAATAAATATAAATCTATTTCATCATTTTTAAAGGTTACATATTAATTCACTGTATGAAATATACTACAATTTATTAAATCAATTCCCTATTTTTAAAACATTTAAACTATTTCTGATTTAACATGTTTGTATGACAATATTCATAAAGTTCTGAGAATAGTACCTAGCACAAATAAGTTATTGTTGACTATAATAAGCAATGTTATGATAAAAGCATCCTTGTATGTCTTCTATCCAGTGATTTCCTGAGGATAGATTCCTTGAAAGGGAACTGCTGAGTCAGAGGGTAGCCATACATTTAAGACTTTTGATAGCCACTGCCAAATTTCCCACCAGGGAGCTTCCAAAAAAGTATACTTCCACCAGTGGTGTAGGGAAGGTAGAGAGCTGGTTTGACAAACCATTGAGCAAAGGAACAGTGTGCAACAAAAATAAATCTGCAGGATTAAGGGTTTGTATGATTCAACTTCTGCCAACTGGAGGGGAAAGCATTTTAAATACAGCATGATCAATCTGTTTGAGCACAAGCTACCACTTAGGGCATTAAGTGGGGATATTATGCAAGCAGCCTACACTCCGTGTTATTCTAACACAAAACACAGAGTGCACACTGCTGGGGAAGCACAGAATATCCTCTCTCTGAGTGACGAGCAGTGGTGGGAACGGCACACCAAAACCAGACACAGGACCACAACCACTGATGCCAAAAGGAAAACAGTGTCCGACATGAATTTGTAAGACTTATACTCTAAGCAGTCCTCATCGGATTTCTGAAATGATTGCAGGTTTCCAGAAGGCAGAATAATAAAGGAAATGGCTCCACCTAAAGCTGGTTTCTCAGAAAAACTGCAACAGAACAAATCTATTCACCACCAGCCTCCCATGCCCTACTTTAGAGATATATAAAATTTTCTGACCAAGAGCCGTGTGATCAGACACTCACATGTACAGGCCATGTGAATTTTGTACTGAGAACAATGGAAAGTCAAGAGGGCCATACTTGTTGTCCAAGTCTCAAACATGAGCTGCCTGAAAATAAAGACTTTATTCATATCTTCCTTCCTTTCACCAATAAGGCTTCAGAAGGCCCCAGTGTCATGATATCATTCTAATGGAATTCAATGTGAACAATCAGAAAGAAGGCACATGGGCTCTGAAGCTGAACGATCTGCTTCCAAATTTTTACCCTATTATATCGTTATTCATATCTTCCTTCCTTTCACCAATAAGGCTTCAGAAGGCCCCAGTGTCATGATATCATTCTAATGGAATTCAATGTGAACAATCATAAAGAAGGCACATGGGCTCTGAAGCTGAACGATCTGCTTCCAAATTTTTACCCTATTATATCCTCAGTGTGACTCTGGCTGCATTACCTAGCCTCAGCAAATTACCTTGTACGCCTCAGTTTCCTCATGTGAAAAAGGAGACGATTACCTCTTAGAATTAATGTGCTAACACATGTAGCGCCTCTTCCTCTGTGATCTGAGCACTCTGCATCTAACCTACTGCCTCTGGGGCCAAGGCAGCACCAGCCCCTGCAGAGCAGCCCCTACTGAGCTGCTGTGGAAGGCCTGATGCAGCCCCTCTGCTGGTTCTGAGCTGAGAACAGATCACCTGCAGGCCAGAACCAAGGCCACCATTTCTACTTCCTGATTAATGCTATTAAATTTCCTCAGCCCCCACTCCCTCAGCTCCTTTCTGGAACAGTACTGTCTCAAATTCGCAGTGATTCACAGTTATTTTTATCACTCCTCAAGGGGCATTATACATGGCCGAAAGAATTCTGGACTAGAAGCCCCTCCTTCCCAAGCCTTAGATACTTGATTTTCCCAATAATAAATTTCTGATACCTACTCACTAATGCTTTAGTCCTGGGGCTTTACACATCCTCCTCTGTTATCTCTACCCTCACCCCTCCACCCCTACCCACCAAAGTGCAAATACACCTTTCTCCCTCCTATCAGCCCAGACCTAACCTTTGTTTTACAGTCAGAATCATATACATTGTCAAGAGGCTTACTACAGTTTTTAACAAGTACTGATATTATTCAGTTTGTTTGTTTTAGTTACACCAATAAAATATACTCCCTATAATAAATGTTCTAACTTTTCATTTATCATCTTTGTATTTTACAGTTACTATAGCAATAAAATTTAACTCAGCAGTATGGTGTAATTTTCCTGTACTAATGGAATTATTATTTTTGTTTGTGTTTTAAAGCCACAGAGATAAAATTTACTCCCAACAATATGACTACTTTTGTTTTTGATGTTCCCTCATTGTAACTGATAAACATAAAAATGGAAAACCAGCAAATTAGTATGTTCACTTCACAGCAAGGCAGAGTGGGCTCTGGACCAGCTCCCAGCTCAGTTACGGACTTGGGCAAGGTCCCCCACTCCTCTGGGCTTCAGTTTTCTCCGCACTCATGTGGGAATACTGGCTGCCTCACAGAGCTGCTGTACAGATCAAATGCAATAAAGCACGTCACGCGCCACGCAAGGGGTTGGAGACAAAGCAGGATCTCAATATGTAAGTTTCCTTCCTCTACTCTTGCTTTCCTTGTAGAATCTGGGCTAAGAGACAAAGTAGACAGCAGGACTAAAGGGGAGGAAAGGTTGAGAGAAATTGGTCTAATCACTTTCCGCCCAATACAAGAAAGAACCTTCTATAAACTCTACCCTTGCTACCCTTTTTAACCCTCAGCATTTTCTCTACAGTTCTTTAGGGAAAAGCAGGGGCTTTTCCAATGGCAGGTCCCATATCCTGCCCCTGCCTTGAACAAAAATCATAAAACTGAAAAAGGGAGCTGAGGGCATTATATTAACAAAAGTATTTTCCATCAACAAGTGTCTACCACAGACATGCCACAGACTACTGGGTGCTAGGTAGTTCGGGATAAAGAGAAAGACACACTTAGCAGTTATGTGGTAGATATTGTCATTGAACAGAAATATAGGTATTATGTATAAACTATGTCTACACATGAAAATTTTAAAAAGAACATGAAACCTAGTGTCGGACTAGAAGTTAAAAACTTGGGTTCTAATCCCAGGTCTGACCCTTCTGGCTAGGAGTAATGGCCCTTCCCTTCTCCAGACATAAATTCGATCCTCTATAAAATGAGGGTATTCCTTGAGATCCGCCTCGCTCCCAGGATAATGATGGGATGTAAATGGATGTGAAAGTGTTTCATAAACTGAAAGTGCTACACATATGGGATCGTCATTATATGCCAGAGTGAGTGACTGACATGCACTAGAGGAAGCCACGTGTGATTCACCACTTGAGCCTTAACAAAGGGCTGGGAATGGACAGGAATCTGGGCTGGGAGGGGATAAGACGGGGAAGAGGTCTGCTGGGGCAAAGTCAGAGCCGCAGGAACAAGAACAGCTGTAGTACCCATGAACTGCATTTGGGATAAAGCACGGGAGCAGTTAAGTTGCTGTGAGCATTCTTGAACAGAACTCATGATCTTAACCCCAGACAGGACTCACCCTTGACATCTCCCTTCCCATCTATCACCAAGGCCTGTTGATTTTGCTTCCTAAATGTCTTTCCAATCCACATAGCCGCTCCATCATTCGTCTCTCACCTCAAGCTCTAGATGAGCTTCCTGACTGGTCTCCCTGCCTCCACTTGAGCAAACTCTATGATCCATTTCCCACCCAGCATCCTGAGAGACCTCCTCAAAAGCAAAACTCTGATTGTGTCACTTGCTTAAAATCCATGACTGCTTTCCATTTGACCTTAGGATGAAGATCAAAATCACTAGTTGTAGTGGATTGAATTATGTCCCCCCAAAACTCACTGAAGCTTGAATTGTTTCCCCTACATCTTATGTATTAGAAACTTAGCCCCCACTGTGACTGTTAAGAGGGTGGGAAGTCCTATTACTTTAAATTGAAAGGTGGAGCCTTGAAGAGGTGATTAGATTGTAGGACCGTGCAGTAGTGAATGGATTAAAAATGGTGGTCAGGGGCGTGGTTCTGAGGGCTTTAAAAGAAGAGGAGAGTCTGTCTCTTTCTCTTGCTCTCTCTGCTTCCACCATCTTGCAATGTGAGACCCCTGGGTCACTGTCACCACCACCAGATGGACTTTGGACTTCCTAGCCTCAGAAACTGTAAGCAATAAATGTCATTTTCTTTATAAGTTCCAAGTATTTTGTTATAAGCAACACAAAATGGACTAATACACTAGTGTTCTAGACTT